AGTCTGAATTTTTACTTACTTGGTAACATTCTTTGCCATGTCTCCTTTTCGTTACTGTGAGTTCTTGGAGTGTACCATACTTTGTACAAGTACGACATATAACGTGCCTTGTGCGGCACAATGGGGCACGCACAATGCGAGGCCAGGAAACATTGTCACCTTCAACATCACTTCTCTTTCCTTTCTTAAGTACTACATAAGTAAACAGATCCTTGCTTGTGTCACTATATTTACCAAATCTAAATGGTTTGTAAGATACTTCAAAATTACAAGGGGTATTAGAGCCATCAAAAAACCTTGGACAAAACTTGTCATGCGAACAAGGAGAGAAAACATGTCCCTCTAAGTAATCTCTTTCCTCTTCTGACTGATGACTCGCCTCCAGTACATAATCCCTTGCTTCCTGAACCAGTCTGTACCCAGCATTTGTCCCTGCTTCAACTAGTACCAGGTATTTTGATGTTTTTCTCCAGAGTATGTCTATTGTTCTTAGTCTTGAAGCCATGTCAGGGAGCTCAAACAGGGAACGAGATGAAACCACAATATCGTACTTCAAGGCGCTGGACATTGGTAAAAACTGCTTGAAAAAGGTTCCTCCTGGTCTTGTTTGCAGTGGCTTCTCAGGGTCACCTCCTCTGAGAAGCTTGTCGGCCATGTCATTCATTTCTGAGCTGGAGTCAATGCACACGACCTCTTTACACTTCCCAGGCCAAATGCTGTCCACCGCCCTATCAGAGAAAGAAAGAAAGAAAGAAAAAAAAAAAGAGATGAAATATATATATAATTTACATTCAAGACTTGTCTTTTTTGTAACTGACGCATCTCAAATCAAACAAAAGAATAAATAAAAGTAAAAGATTTAGTAGGTAAATGGGTACAAGACAAGCAGTAAGTAGCAAAGGCATCTAGTTCTGCAGCTGGCAATAGAAATTCTTTCTTGAAATGAAGATCACGCTAGCATACATATCTGTTACTAAAGCATTAAGTTCCACATTGAAGAATTTAGAAAGGAACCCTAAAATGCTCTACAATGCCTAAATATATGACAACACTGGAATTGAAAAGTTTTTTCAAATCGGTTTTTATGGAGATCAAACATGTCTAGAAAAAAAGAAAAAGATGAAAAAAAAAGTAAATTAAAAATAACAAATAATAAATAAAATAAAATGGACATTATCTAGCATATATAGTGTGTAAACAATCTGAAAACATGAATCTGGTGTCATATCTACAGTGTTATATAATGTCATATATCATGACAATCTCCTCAAGAAGATATGTTTGTAAATAGGATTTCTCTTGTTTATGTTCTTCACTTTGTGGCTTTACACATGACTGGGGTCACGTTTGTAGCTCAAGTAAGGACACCTGTGACTGTAATTCCTCCCAATTAATCATCCAGCCAGGTAAGCAAGGGTTCCTAGGTCACTTAATGTATGCAAAATCGCATGAACAAGTTGTGACATAAATATGGTTCTTTTTAAATGTTCTCACTTGACATGTCTCCCAGCTACTAGATTGCCCTGTAATGGTGGAAGGAAGCTAAACAGCCAGCATCTGGCTCAGCTGGTGACTAGCTTCAGCACTGAGGAAGCTTAGTGACTGGGAGACACCAGTGTATACAGATACACAATTCTTTTTTCATTCATATCTTCTATATCTTATTAGTCTGGCTAGCCCACAGATCAAGTAATTTTAGTGTGAGAGGGTTATGGCTTGACAGCTTTTTTCCTTTTCTAGTTCTCAAGTGACCATACTCATCACGAAACTTGAACCAAACACAGCCTTTTAGTTAGCAAATTATAGAAAGATGTCTCTATTATGAAAGGAGGGAAACTTCCAAATAGTACAAGTTTCTATTCAAAACTTGAGCACAGAAAGAACAGAAGGCAAATAGGCAAACAGTATCAACACTGGAGCTTTTTTTCTTTGTCTTCAACAGAATATAATAATACAACTTCGAAATACAAATCATCCTGATAGACAAGGTTTAAGGAAGAGGTTCACTCTGCCATAGACTAGGACACAAGTAATACAAAAATGTTGCTTGAAATAAATGATTTTCAGTTTGAGGGCACAGCTAAAAAAAAAAAAAAAGAAAAAAAAGAAAAAAAAGAAAAAAAAAAAAAGAAAAAAGAAAAAAAAAAAAAAAAAAATATATATATTTATATATATATATATATATATATATATATATATATATATATATATATATATATATATATATATATATATATATATATATATAAACCTATTATAATATCATAATAAGAATATGGAAAATGATACTATGTACATCATATGATACAGAATGTTGTATGAACTCATTTATGCTTCATGATAACTTAAATAGAAAAAAATTTCCTTATATGATGATGTCATTTGTAAAAGTATCCTAAAATAATCCTCCCACTTATCAGGTGACAAAAGGCTTTGAAAACAATTCTTAGCTCAGTTTAAAGTTTGTGTGTATGTATGTCCTATAACATATTCATATTGAATTTTCTATTAATGACGATTAACATTCCTATCTCCCAACGTCTGGCAGAACATTAATCAGAAAGAGCATAACTGGTGGAATCGTAAAATGTTTCATAGCAAATAGCCATATAGAAATTATCTTCCAGCAAAAGAAATGTAAATACTACAGCCAACAATATAATGCAATGATCACATCTGTTAATACCAGACAAACTTAGTAGAAATTTATTCTCCTTCCTCCAAAAGGATCATGTCCACTGAAACAGTGATAGATTACCTAAGAATGCAATTTAGAGCAACTTCATTCTGCAGAATTATATTTGTGATACTTAGTCTGTATGAAGTAGAGAAATTTAAGTGCTGTGTACCTTGCTTATTAATCCAGTGCATTTGAGTGATGTGACTATCATGAAAAAAATTGACTTAGGGCTGGGTGACAATCATGGAAAAAATATGGCTAAAAGCTGGAATGACAGGAATGTGCTGTCATGAAAAATGAAGCCATAGGTCAGGGTGCTATGAAAGATCCGTCATGAGTGAGCAAAGCTCTTGGAGGAAGACTAGACTCAGTAGTCATTTAAGAGGTCTCTGCTGTAATCTTCACAGGTAAACGAGGATGAAATGTACCAGCTATGTGCTATGCTCAGGATCCTGCTCCTGCCTGCTGTGACCAGTGGTGCAGGATGTGTTACAGAAGACTGAATATAAAAAAAATGACACAAACAAAATAATGTTATTGTTATAGTCTACACTAGTAGATTACCTAAGGATATAATATGGAGTCTCTTCAAAGAAAACAGTCTACTACTATATTGATACAGAATAGCAAATGACAAAAAACAGAACTTGGAAATTGAAAGACTGATAGAGAGAAAGACAAAAAGAAAGAAAGAAAAACTTAAGACAAGTAAGCCTAATGCCCAGATTCTGGTCCACGTGCAAGCTGTGAGGCACTGTGATCAAATGAGTTAATTTCCCTCAGCATCTAACTCAGGCTGCAAATTTTTTTTTCTTTTTTTCACTTGTCCAGGAGGACAAGTACACCTGACTTTCCACTCGTCCTCTTCTGAATACCACTTGTCCGAAATATTTATATATATATATTGTAAAGAAATTTATCAACTGTGCTATATGAAATTAATATAAATAACTAATTTATGAAACTAATATAAACAAATATGGCAGCCTCCATAATCATAGAACTGAAAGGAACTAGACCTTGCTAGATTTCATTAATTTTAGGGAAAAATCTACTGGAAATTTTTACTCGTCCATGCGGACAAGCGAGGTAAACATTTTACTTGTCCTCCACAAGTTTACACTCGTCAAAGACGTGCGGACGTGGGATTTTTCGCAGCCTGTAACTTAATCTATCATTCTGTCTCATATCAAAAGACCAGGCAACCAACTGACAATACACTGGTGTTCATATTTAACACAGTGTCTGTGAGACACTGTGTACTCCATGTGATATAGTGTACTGCCTTAAGCCTAGCAAAGTGATATGCACTAATTATGGTGAGACAGCCACTTAGGTAAACAGCATTCCCTTTGAGAGCAACACCTTGTGCAAAAACTAATAAGGTTTTCTTGTCAGTGAACAGCGGTTACACCACATGATTATAAGATCATTTCATGACACAAATGACATCTTAGCTGAATACTTTCATCAGTACCAAGGAGAAAAACTATGTTTGCTTTAAAGAGTGCAGAATATATATGAAATATCTAACTTGTTCTCTGTAAATTTGTTTACTCAACCCCAAACAATACAAAAATAAGGATGTGTGTTTTTACTAAAACATTACATGTATGAAAAAGAAAAAGAAAGAAAAAACAAAAGAAGAAGAAGAAAAAAAAACAGTTGCATGCTTTAAGTTCAAGATTTTTCAGTGGCTGCTTTGCAAACCAACAACTGATGGAAAAATGACCTTGGCTGCAGAATGTGCCCTCCATTTCTTGGCCCAGCCCAAACCTCAGCTGAGACAGAGCCTTCGCAATGACAATGAACTACAATGGCAGTATCCATGCTTCTTAGAAAACTACTTAGGAAAACAGAACAGATGTATAACCAATATTACTTCACCCCTGCGTAGTGCTTTGTACCTTCAAGTAGACTACTAAGAACACGAGTTAGCCAGAACTACCCAATGACCATACTGTATTAACTATCTATGTGATCCTTTTATATGTAAAAGAATATACTAACAGAAATCTTTTAAATTGTGCATATGTATATAGGTGTGTGTGTGTGTGTGTGTATACATGCTCATATCATCATCCTTAACATCATCTTTGGCTAATATGACAGATGATGACAGATCATTATCTCCTTTGATTTCCAATAATTGTCACTTGCCTCCAGATATATTTTCATATATCCAAATATATATCATATTACCTTCATTGCAGCCTAAACCTCTCACTGGGTTTAAGGTTGCACTTCTTTGATTCATTTAAATGTCAAGCAATTATCTAACATAGTTCAATGTGGAATAACTTTATTATGCTCAGAGAGCCAACATGGTTTCAATAGTAGACTTTTTTTTTTTTTTTTGAAGCATCCATGTACTTCAGTAAAGAAGTGGTAAATGCTAAAAATTGTTTGAACAATCAATTCATAAATGACAATGTATTAGGGAGGAACAGCTTAGAACCTTAAGAAATGGTACATTGATTTTTCTTTATCCATTTACCGTTGTTCTTGCTACAAAATATTGAATGGAACAGCATCATTTTCATAGCCAGCATTAAATAAACAAATAAAGCTTAACAAGGTTAAGAAGAAAGTGCCAATATGCCTTAACAATGCTCTAAATGATAACGGGGAAAGTCCAAATCTGCCTTTCCTACATAATTCAGTAATGCCCATTGCCATGAATGTGTAATTGTAGAGTACAGTCTATGCAAGATTATAAAGAAGAAATATAAGCTATAATACATACATAGCACAGTAATTGTTCCTCTCAATCACATAATTAATTTTTGTGCAAAATTAAGCAAAAACTCAGTGAGATAGAGTTTTGGAGAAGTTCACTCTGTCACAGACAGGATACAGGTAGATGAAACTATTTTGGCTGTGGGCTGACCAAAATGACTCATGAAAACATGCTGTGTCCTATGCACTGTGACCCACATCCTGCATGGCGTAGTCTTGTCATAAAGCGATTTTCAAATGAAGATAAGTCTCATGCCACTATATGGTAGAGAATTTATTCTTCCAGAGAGAAAAATTACAAGCAGAGGCAATAGTAAGAGCAGTGTCACCTATACAGCTCTACATATTCAAAATATTCTGCTGTAATCGGAACTTTCAATTCAGCTTTTTTGTCATGGCGAGATTGTGACCTGATTCTAGTACACACGTCAATTGTGAAGATTAAGTGAGCAGCTATGGTAAGCTAATCCACAAAAAAAGGAACCTTGAAATAGACTACCATACAACATGGAGAACTGCAGTTTATACAATGACTATGAAGAAAGTTTTATTGTAATATCTCTTTATGTCTATACCTACTTTATACTCATTGCATAAAGCTCAAATACAAATACAAACAACTCATATTCCTGAAATCTATCATTAAAGTAAAAAAAAAAACACAACAACATTACTGTCTAATGCAACAGAATCTACTCACCACACTGAAGTGCCCACACCAGAGCCGAAGTCTAATAACGTAAGTGGGGAAAAGTGTGGGTCACGTTTCTTCACTTCTGCCAGGATTCTGTAGAGGGAGGCGTAATCTGGAGCTAGGCGGCCTGCCACATACATAGCTGCCCTACAAATGAAAGATAACAATGAATCAAGTTTTAAATCCATAACAACAGCAAATCACAACAAAGGACACTGGCGATCAATTAAGAACAGTGTTTCTATGATATTTCAAGACAAATTCTTTGAAAGGACAAAGCTGTATTAACAAAAACAATTACACTTCACATGAGGGGGAGAGGAAAGGAACTGCTGTACAGCATGAAGAGAAAATCATACATGTTATATATATATAGCACCTCATCTCACCTATAACCATTATACTCAATGGGTTTCCAGTGATAAACATTGTTCTTCATTTTCTTGATAACTTTTGATTTTCGGGATTCTAGCAACCTTCCTTGAAGCTCTTCGCCAATATCTGGTGATAATGGGTCTACCATTTCTGAAATTTTAGAAGTGGTGTAAGGAAAAATAAAGAATATTTGACATACAAAAAAGTGCAAGAAAGATTTCATTCGACACATCTTCCTGCACTTTATAAAAGAATGCATTTTAGATAAAACTGAAACAACCTTTGAGAATGAAAACTAAATCAACAAAACAGAAAAACCTTTTAAACAAAATTTTTAACTAGGATCTAGACTACTCCACGGAAATTAACTACCTACTCTTACTTGAATACTGATAGTGAGATTTTACAAGCAATCCCAGTGAGCACTAGGGAAGAGCTCAGAAATACAAACACAGTGCCTGGTTGCTGAGGCTTTTCTATATGGAGGATGGATAACCATATTTTATACTGAAATGTAAGTACACTCCCAGACTTTGTATTTGAGATATATATACATACAGATAGTCCCCTACTTAAGAACATTTGACTTACACACATTCCGTACATACGAACAAAATATTTTAGATACTTAAGTCCAAAAAATTGTTTGAAAGATGTTAGCAAACTTCAAATTTCCCAGGCGCAAATATAGTTCATGAGTCTGCCACGCTGCAGCGCCACCACGCTCACTCAGCTGTGTGCATGACTCGACTGCCCTCCCCCATAAACATGAAAGCCTCTCTTCACTGTGTCCTTGTGTACCGACAATTTTGTGTCATAATTCGCTTTACCTGTGCATCAATCCATCAAAAATGTTGGGTGTGAAGAGAAAGATAAACGGTGAAGCCAGTGGAATTGCCAAGAAACGTCAGGCTATAACTTTATGGATCTTATCAATCAGTTCGCCTGCCAGTCACAATATATATATTTTCTTTTTGAATAAATTATGTTTCTACATTTAAAGTTGTATAAA